CTGCCATCAGCACTACTATAATAAAATAAATTGCATGGGGTAGAAAATAAGGCCAAGAAAATAAATGAGGAAGAAGAGGGAATATGATCTACTGACAATGTAGTACGTAATCTGATCTGGTTTAAATAAATATAGGTAGTCTTCAACTCGCAACAGTTCATTTAGTGACCATTCAAAGTTACAATGGCATTAGGGAAAAAAATGACTTATTTTTCACACTTACAACTCTTGCAGCAACCCCATGGTCCCGTGATCAAAATTGAGACATTTGACAACTAATTCTTAGCTATTATTGCTATTGCTATAATTCATTTTTAGGATGGTTGCTGTGTTCCAGAGTCATGACCATGATTACATGACTCTGGAACACAGCAACCATCCTAAAAATGGTGACCTGCAACATCAACATGGAATCCAGATTCACTTAACAACTGTGTCATTAATTTAACAACTCAAGTGATTCACTTAACAAATGTAAGGAAAGGTCATAAAATGGGATAAAATTAATTTAAGAAATGTTTCACTTAGCAACAGTGAATTGGGACCACAATAGAGCACAAAATTTAACTTTGTGCTCTATTGTGGTCCCAAGTCATAACATTTCTAATTAGCACAGCCTGTGGTAGTAGTTTCTTTTGGGGAAAGCTGGGCCTTTTCAGTGTGATATCAGACTTTTTGGGATCCTTTTTTTCAGACATTAGATTTCTAGCATGCATAGAAATTATATTGAGAGTGAAAGAAAAACTACCTTGAACATACCGGTAGGTGCTACAGCAATGAATTTATGCTGTTCTGTTACTCTATTACTTACAAGCAAATCAATATTATCTTTTCAGCCGGGAGGGATGATGAACCACAATGCTCAAGAAAGAGAAAACCAATATCACAATAACTTATGAGATGTGATAAGGTCATGGAAAGGGTTTCACAGATTCCCTCTATTCTATTCCGGGAGAATTCAGAAGATTCTAATGTTGTTGTTGTTGATTCCCAGCTGAATTCTAGCAGGACTTTTTTAGACTTTGGGAGTACCAGTGAAAACATTTGTGAATTCAAAAATAAACAAAAAGTACTTTTTAAAATAAAACACAGACACATACGTACATATATATAGACAGTATATATAAAATGTTTGGCAATATTATTTATGTTTCACTGCAAACAACTATTAAAACAAACAAGCATTCTCATTTTCTTCTGGAACAAAAATATACTGAATGTCAGTATTTTTAGTGCTTTGAAAAACAGAATAACAAAATTAAAAAGACTAAACATAAATATAGTTAATATGATAATGTTAATTGGTCCTTACATGCAAATTTTTCTTGGAGAAGAAGTTTATATATCTGGTGGGTAGACATACAGTATGTGGTAGACTAAATTAACATATTTATTTTATTTGCACTGATATCACTGGATTTGATTTTCTCTGTTGCAAAGCATAATCCCTCAGTTTCCGAAATAAAGAATTCTGTTCACATCCCAATCACGTTTCTCTGTGTGTGTGTGTTTCACTGAAATGCAATTCAGGATAAACTGACAAAAATTATAGTTTTCAGCCATATTAAATCATATGTAATTTATTTCTCTCCCACGTATTTATCTGCATACACAAAGCAGTTAGCAACATAGATAAAAAAACAATAATAAAAATACACTACAAAAATGTCAACAGTTGAAAATAAACTACAGCATTATCTATTAGCTGGGCTCAAAATCTTGATAGGTATTAATTTTAAAATTCATAGATGGAACGTGCATTTGGGCTGCTTGATCAAGATTCCCATTTTCTTTTCCGTACTTGAACATTCAAAGTGATGGCAACATTTCACTTTGCTCTTCTACAAATATAATCAGTTCCCTTTCATCTTTGGGATTTTTTGGGTAAATGGGCACATTCGAATAAAAATTAGTGAAGTGTTCTTGTCCTTTCTGTAATTAACATTGCACACCTTTTGCAGCAGATTGATGGAACTGTATAGTTATTTATAATATCAAGGGCGCATCATCTTACAGCAAGTGGCAGTTCAGAGTAATCTGTTCATAAGAAAATTCATTGCCTTTGAAACCTTATGCTACATTTCTGTTAATTGCACTTCAGATTAGATATGAGCAAACAGCATGAAAGATGTATGCTTAAGTAAAATTAAATTTAAACCTGAGCTATTTAACTTGATCTGGCTCATTTCCAATATGTTCTACTTCTTAGACACAGTCAGGCTTGTGGTTTAGCTATAGTTCTCCATGTCTGTAGGTCCTATAAACGATTCCCAGTTCAATGAACAGAAAATCATATAACATGCTTGCCCTTAGCCTTACAGAGCATGCCAATCTGGTACATGTTACTGTGACTGGGGTGAATGAAAACCCCTTCCAGAAATATATACCAATAATTTGCTCTCAAAGAATTTGATTCTCTAGGCAGGTATCCATTCAGCACCCTGTACGATTTGTGATTCAATATACTGTAGATTCTCAGAAACATGAGACAGGAAAGTACTATCCATTTTATTATTCAACGTGAAGTAAGTTTGTCAGCCCCACTTCTTATCATGATGATAAGAATTGAATCTGGGATATTTTTCATGAAAAACATCCTCTAGTCTGAGTTATGCCATTTCCCAAATTTAGCTTTTATCTAAAGTGAAGCTTATATCAGTATAAGCGTGATGGACAATCAATTTTTCTCTCTGTTTATATTACATAATTGGAAAAAGAATCAAAGGATTATTACTGCATTTCATCTTTATTCACAGAATGAATTCAGGCCTAGAGCAGTGCTGTTATATTTTTTTCCCCTAAGCTTTGTCCATTCCTACACATATGAGGCTGGCATGTGGCAACAAAAGAGTCTTTTAATTGAACTATAGTACAACCATAAAATAGACTGAATCCCAAACTAGCCAAGCGCTAGCTAGCCTAACATGTTTTATAATTCCAGACTGGATGTAGGATTATGTCTACCCTGCTCCCCAGTTCTGCAGCAGTTTTTGCTCCTTTTCTGCCTGATTGAGTTACACCCAACCTTTCCTCCAATATTTCAAGATGGCTTTAAAAGGGATCTTATTTCAATGAATCCTCAAAACCATGAGATACTATATGTTGGACTGAGAAACAGGAACAGGCCAAAAATGACATCGTGACTTACCATGGTTAATGGTGGACTTGAATTTGGACTAAAACTTTTACCACTATACTATGTTTGAAATGTTTGAAATGTTTATTCCATTTGTATGCCACCCTATTCCCGAGAGACTCAGGGCGGCTAACAAACAGGGGGGGAAGGGGAATACAAACAAAAACAAAAAACAGGAAAGTTAAAACAGAGCAACAGTCACAACAGTTTAAGTGGGGCCGGGAACTCATCAGCCCCAGGCCTGNACTTGGAGCTGAACCCAGAAGGACATTTCTTTCAATTGTTAAAAAAATATTACTAATTGTAAATATTAAGTGTAAGGGATACAAACACCTGCCAGAATACACTAGAAAGAAGATACAAGCTTTATTATAAATGATTATTATAAATTAATTATTCTAGAAACACACGCATAGTAATTGTTCATTATTGAAATCAATACTATCACACTACAGTATATTATTAGGGTGGAGTTACACTTGAAACAATTACTTCATTATGTTAAGGCTGTTTTAATATGAAGCAGAGTACCAGCCTGCAATCTGATGTCTTGTTTTAAAATCAAGGTGCCACTCTTATCTTATTTTAAACAGAACACAAAATATTATGTATTTATCTAATTTATATTTGGAAAGAAGATAAATGTTGTAGAAAGCATAGTGGAACTGCAGTCGTTCACATTTTCTACGGGCGACTTCTTGAAGCGGAAGGTAAAACGATCATTCCAAAAAAACTAAATATAGTAGGTCTGAATTGCAGTTCCCATGACCTTGGGAGAAAAATTCTGTACTTGGGGAGTGTTTTTGTTTTGAAATATGCTCGGATTTATTTTCATGTTTTCCGTAAATCGACGATAGTTCAGAGATGGGGCAAAACGCTACTGTGGCTGCCCCTTGTCGTTCAAGCAACTCTAATCAGCGAGGGAAAAAGGTGATCCTGCCGGTCCTCAGAATCCATGGAGGACGTGCCTCTTTTCTGAGGGCTTCCTCTCCCTTGCCAAATCTCCAGCCTCCGCAGCAAGATTTCCCCCTCATTGTGCAGCGAGAAGCGGGTGGGACACCTATGTCTCTCTGTAGGCGCGCTCGTCTGCCATGTCCTTATTCACCTCACAAACAAGGTGTGCAAAGGATGCGCGTCTGTGGTGTGTGTTTATTTTTATTTATTTATTTCCTCAAGCATGTATTAAGATAACACACATGAGTATAAATGATTTGAATACATGAAATGGATACGAATAAAAGGGAACATTAGGACAGGGACGGTAGGGACGGTAGGCACGTTGGTGCGCTTATGCACCCCCCCCTTACAGAGTTGGCCATCCCGCAAAGGTTTTTAAAACGTCCAAGGTGGTGGTGGGTCTGCAGCCCCTTCCCCGCTTCTTTCCTTGCTTGGACCCGCGCCTTTCTTTTCTTGCAAGGCGCTCTTCCCGTGGGAAGGAGCTGCAAAAGGCCTTAGCAGGTCTACTCGGCTGCCTGGGCTACAGTAGTCTTTCCTCAGCCACGGTTGTCTCTTCCCCCGTCACCTCCTTCTCTCCCCCCTCCTCCCCCCACGCAGCCGCTTCAAGCTATGCACAGCCATGTTTTTTCCCACCCTCCCACTCCTCATTGACTCTCTGGTCCTGAAGAAAAAGAGGCCAGCGTAGCCTTTCCAAGCACGGCCCGCGCGCGGGGCTTTCTGGGAGTGGTAGTCCTCCTTTGCCCTCCCCGCCGCTCGGAGGGGCTGAGGCAGAACTACGTTGCCCGAAGTAACCCCGCCGAGAAGACGCATGCGCAGAGGCGGGTTGGTGGACGAGGAGGAGAAAAAAAAGACCACCCTCGCCCTATTCAGCCTCCTCCTCCTCCCCCCTCCCCCCCACCTTCTGCTCGGTTCTGGGTTCAGGGTGAGCCGTTGAGCTGAGGCCCGCGCGCCGCCCGAGACTTGAGGATCGAAGAAGCAAGCCGAGCGCGGGAGAGCCGAATCGGCCAGACCCCGGGAGCCTTCAGCCTAACGGCCTGCATTGTTTTCGTGAGGGTGGAAGCGCGGAGGGACGGGGACGGGCTACTCCCCCCTCCTCCCCCCCCGCGACTCCGGAGCGACGAGTGAGTGGGGGAGGGGAAGAGTTCGGGAGGGGGGGCTCGGGGAACGAGCGACTTCTTTCTCCTCACGCTCCCCCTCCTCACCCTCATGTGGGGGGAGAGAGCGGGGGGGGGCGAAGGGGCACTTCCTCACATTTTTCCGTAGGCGCGTGAAGGGGGGGGGAGAACCCCTCCCTCGCGCTGTTGGCGGGGGGGGTGCGAGAAACTTAATTGGCTCTTTTTACCTCACAACAGGCTCCGTTGGGGGAGGCGGCACAATTCATTTTAATTCATTTCTGCCTAATGATCGCTATCATCCCTATTATCGTTCCCTCTTCTTGTGCCTCTCACTTTCCTTCCCACACTTCTGCCTATTTCGGTGGGGGAAAGGTTTGCTCCACTTTATTTTATTTTATTTTAAATATCCTCCCTTTCCCCCCTCAACCCCCCCCCCCAAGCCCCTTCTTGGAAAACGAATGTCGCCCTTGCTGGTTTTCGTGCCGATTTTTCTTAGCTTAATCTGAGGATTTTCATGACTCCTCACCGCGGTGACTGTAGGTGTTTTGTTGGTCCTCTCAACCCTTCTCCCCTTTTCATTTGATCGCTTTTGAGAGAGTGGGAAAAGGTATATTCCTTCTTAGAAATGCAATCAATTTCTCCTGCTTTTCCACTAAAAAAGGTTGTAAGTGTGTTTAAAAATATTATAGACTTAATGTTTCTTTCCCTCATACTTTTTACCAGCTGTATTTTCCATTGAGCAGATTCATGCTGTTAAGTAAATTAATTAAATAAAATTAACTTTTCTTCCACTGATGCTGTTCAGAAAGGGGAATGTTTTGAAAAGTTTCAACTCCTATCCTTTCTGGAAATATAGCATAAAACTTGCAAGGATTTCAAACAGAATCAGTAAGCTTTTCTTTCTGAAAGTTGGGGATAGAGGTAAAGATAATTTTTTTATTAGTGCTAATAATTAAATTATTCAGAAACTCTCCCTTTGGAAAGGAGTTAAGGTAAACTCAGAAAAATTGACTGAGGAGCTCCCCCAATGGCCTAATGATTGTAATTGATAATAGTGCATTTGCATCAAAAAGTATTTGATACAAAGTATATGCCTTATTAGAAGCAAGCAAACACAATTAAGACTATTATAACTATTGAGGTACCCTCTGGAAAATTAACAAGGTATCCCCTGAAAAACAGGTGCTGGAAAATTATTCTATTTTTCTTTCACAAACCTAAGTTTCTGTTAATAAGGGGTAAACTTCCTTACTTATTTTTTATTTACCATATTTTTCAGAGTATAAGACGTACTCCCCCCTTTATTTATATTCCACAACTATTATGTCTATAAATAACTCAAGGCAGAAAATGTACACAGTACTCTTTCCTTCTATTTTTCCCACAACAATCCTGTGAAGTGAGTTGGGCTGAGAGAGAGTGAGTGGCCCAAAGACAGCTTTTATGACTAAGGTGGGACTAGAACTCAACAATCTGGTTTGTAGCCTGTTGCCTTAACCAGTAGACTTAACTCTTTCTATATGGAAAAAGATATATCTTGAGAGTTGGGTAAAAAAATCTTGACATGAACTGGAGGAGATAGTGTTTACTTTTTCTCATTCCTTTAATCTCCACCTCCACTTTCCTTATTGTAGCAGAATTTTTGTGACCAATTTGGTTGAGGGGCTAACTCTTAGTATTATGCTATTTTTACTATCATGTTGGCCCTTTCGCTATAGGGACAGGAGAAGGGGAGACATTTTTTAATGAATTTTCTTCAAACTCTTCTTCCCTTGTCCAGAGAAGGCTTCTTCAGCCAACTTTCCAAAGGGAAGCTGAACACCTATTTTGAGAAAGGGCCAATGAAGCATTTTCATTTTAGATAAAAGGGGTGGTATTGCTAACCATTTACCATGAATTGTGGTTTAGTGGTCCTTTACTATTTTCTTTTTAAAACTGACTGAAAAGAGAATATTTGAATATGAAGTCTTCCACATATATTTCCCCAAGACAAGAGGAAAAGAACAAATCTGCAACATTTATTTCCCTGTGTATTTGTCTCTTTTTAACACACTTATTTACAGTGGCCAGATGAAAGCCTCTTTCCCATCTTGTTTCCTTTCTCAAAAGTAGAGGTGACCAATTCAATTTTTGTAATCATCTTGGTTTTTAAATGTAAGAGTTTTAATGTATTTTAAACAAAAATTACCAGTTTTGGATAGGAATGAATCATAAATGTGGGCCCTTATAAGCTTCTTTGGTGGTGTAGTTCAGAAAGCAGAACACTAAATAAATAATTAAATAGGAATAATTCATATCCCCTCTCAGTTGTCCATATTTTCTTTTTTTCTACTGTCTTCCCTTTACATTGTTTTTCTTAATATGGAAAGCTTTTTCCCAGATATGTAGGATGGAAAGAGATAAGTAATATGATACTCCTTTTCTCAGTTCCTAGAAGTCAATTCTTTAAAACTTTGTCAGCTTATTGGCAGAAAGTGGTATTGTAAATATATACAGGCATAGTTCCATAGATACTACCTGATTATATAGATAGCCTATAAATAATCATTCAGAAATAAGTTTCATTTTCCACATATATTATTCCCAATTCTCTAAATAGCTTTGTAGTTGCCCTTAACCTATTTCCAATTTGGGAGATTCATGCGCATCTTTGTTTCTTTCCTTTTTATAATGTTTGAGTGGAACCTTTTGTGTTTTTTTTCCCTTGGCTGTGGATTTGATTAGAAATTATATAATATCAGAATGGGCCTTTCCACCCAGAATTCCTCCAGTCTTCAAATATTTTAATGAATCATGGTACAGGTAGTCCTCAACTTACAACAGTTCACGTAGTGACCATTTGAAGTTACAACAGCACTGAAAAAAGTGGCATGAACATTTTTCACATATGACCATTGCAGCATCCTCAAGGTCACATGATTTATATTTGGATACTTGACAAGTGATTCACGTTTATGACAATTGCAGTGTCCCGGGGTCATGTGACAAGAAAAGTCAATGGGGAAACCAGATTCACTTAAATCATGTTACTAATTTTAACAAGAGCAACAAAGAAGAGCAACAAAGATGATTTGGGGATTGGAGACTAAAACATGAAGAATGCTTGCAGGAACTGGGTATGTGTAGTTTAATGAAAAGAAGGACATGGGGAGACATGATGGCAGTGTTCCAATATCTCAGGGGTTGCCACAAAGAAGGGGGAGTCAAACTATTCTCCAAAGCACCTGAAGGTAGAACAAGAAGCAGTGGGTGGAAACTAATCAAGGAGAGAAGCAACTTAGAACTGAGGAGAAATTTCTTGACAGAACAATTAAGAAGATGTTGGATAGCCATTTGTCGGAAACAGTATAGGGTTTCCTGCCTAGACGGGGATGGACTAGAAAACATCCACAGTCCTTTCCAACTGTGCTATTGTATTGTATTGTATTAACTGTAGTATTTCACTTAACAAATGTGGCAAGAAAAAGTGTAAAATGAGCAAAACTCACTTAACAAATTTCTGACTTAGCAACATAACTTCTGGGCTCAATTGTAGTCATATGTTGAGGATTACCTGTATATCTTTTCTATTTATTGCTGTATTTAGGAAAAGCCTCTGAATGAAACCTTTGCTACCCCACCACAATCTATGCCAGTTTATATAGATATTGTTGCCCAAATTTTCATTCCTGCTTCCATAGTAACTTTTGTTTTCTGCTGGCACCATTTTGCATTTTCTTCAGAAATCCAATTGCTACTTCTTGCTTGTGTATGATCTTGATCTTTTCATGCTGAAAATTTAGAGCTAATCACACTTCCCTCATTTCCCTTTCATTTTTCTCCAAGCCTGCAGATAAAGGAGCATTACTGCTGGTAGTGTTTGACTTTGTGCTTCTCCAAATTAATGCTGATAATGGGAAATGACTTACTTTAAACACAGCTGATCTTCTTCTTTACCTTGCCAGAAATACAAGGGATGAGTAGTACTAATTTGTTTTTGTTCTGATCCTTCTCTTTCTTTCTCTCCCTTTCCCCTATCTGGTTGAAGATAAACCTTTGAATTTTGTCATGATACCCTCCCCCTACCTAACATCAATGAAAGCAGTATGCTTTGAATAAAGATTTATTTTTGTGATGTTAGGGAACACATATAGGTTTAGTTAGAGCAGGGTTTTTTTTAAAGAAAAAAACTTCTGAAGAATGCACTTCACTAATTGGATTTTATCCTCATTTTTTTTTCTTTTTGTACTACTTCAGTGTAGTCCTTGATACTTTAATACATGTTGCTTCAATGCTCTAAATCCAAATAGAGAAGGGGCATTCCAAATCTTTTTCTGTTCTTCTGGAATGGAGCATAAATTTTGCTATTAGAAGATCAGATAGGTTTTGAGGTTTTCTGTTTACTTTCAGGATTCTGAAATAATACTTTTTAGTTTCTGGACATCTGGCCCTTTATCTTTTTCCTTTAAACCTAAGAAATTTGTTCATTCCACAAACTCTGTTTAAATATTGATGTGCCCCAAATCCTTGGGCTGAAAGCCAGTTTAGTATAGTGCTTAAGGTATCAGCCTATGTGAGTTTTAGTCCTGTCTTAGGCACAAAGCTATTGGATAACGTTGGGCAATTCGTTCTTGCAGCCCTTGGAAGGAGGGAATGACAAACCACTTCTGAAAAACCTTGCCAAGAAAACTGCAGTAAGTAGTCTAGGCAATCTTCAGCAGTCAAGGACTAATTCAAAGGCACACACAAACAGACATGGAGAGACACAAAAATTATTGAACAAGATATGCAAAATATGTTTCTCTTCACTAAAATATGTTGCATACTTTTCAACTGAATGCTATTTTACTTGGGGTGTAAGACATTTATCGTAGTCTTGGGTGGCTCACAATGTAAAAATAATACAAATAGAACAAAATAAATAAAAGGACGCTAATAAAAATAAGTTTGCAATCGGACTAATAGCCAAACATGTAGCATGTGACAAACACAACTAAGGTTCTATCCCTCCTACCCTGAGGCATTGGTAGATCAGCCAGATCTTTAAGACTATCTAGAATACCATCAGGGTGAGAGCTGCCCAGATCTCCATCTAATCCAAATACCAGCCATATTTTAATATGTTTTGTTATGTAGGGTTTTTATTTGTTGCATTTGTATCATGCATTTTGATAAAGGAATGTTTAAAAGGTACATGAACATCTGTCAGCTGAAAGAACTTTTAACAGATATTTTAATGTCACCATAACATTTTCCAGACACTTAAATTTGTAATTGCCTGTTCTTTTTTTTAAAAAATCACTTTAATTTGTAACACTTTTTATTTTGAAATGTATTTTTAGCATTGGCTAATTGAGATTAAATGGATTACTCTTCATAGTGGTCCTTCCCTATACAAATATGGTAGAGAAAGTTACATTTCTTAATAAAGTTAATTTTCAGGCCAGTCTTGGCAAAAAAATGGCTGAAGTTTCAAAGTCCTAAAGGTATTAGTTACTAAGTCCTTACATGAGATTCTAATTAGCTTCTTCTTTAAAAAATAATAATTTTATTGAAGGTTTTAATCTTTAAAAACAGTAAAGAAGATACAACAAGAAAAACAAAACAAAACAAAACACAGAACATACATAACAATATGCAATAATTTCACAGCTTTCTATATCAGCTTTCTTGCTTAGCTTTTATATTTCTCCCTTCTACATTGCCTTCCTATTGCTTTAAACTTGTTCTATAAAGTAGCAAACGTAGCATTATCACTTATAATAATATTCATTATTTGTATCACCATATATTTATATTCCCTATTTTGTGTTTTGGCTTCTGATTTCTAGCCACTTATACATTTTATTCCATACTTTATAGAAGTCCGATTCTTTTCTCTTAATTAGATTCTTCAATTCCCTCTTAGAGCTTTTCTTAGAGGGGCACATTTTAACTTATTCAGTTGAATGGTTGGCAAAGACTAATTTTACCTTCGGTTTACTTAAGTGTTTTGGATAGAAGCTAGACTACTATTATTGGACCTAACACATAGTATAGTGAATTAGCAATACTTACTGTTAGATTACATTTATATCACATCTTTCCTCTGAAAGCTCAAGGCAGCATACATTCTGGGCCTCCATTCCCACTTCCCCAAAATAGCCAGTCTTTTCTTAAGTGAAGTAGGAACTTGAACATGGGACTGTGTAATCCTCATTTAAACCATAAACTCTAGCTCATATTGATGTATTAATGTCGTCTGAACTATTTAGTAAGTCTTTTTCTTCTAAATGTTGCCTATTTTTGAAACATTCTTTGTTGATATGGAAGCTTTCAAATACAATATGTACAATTATTTAAAATAACACCACAAAAGCGGGAAGTATAATTATGTATGCATATATTTCACCGTATTTATAACTGTTCCAATTGGAAAGACTTTTCACTTTGTAATGTTAGAGATGCTTAACATTAAAAGAGCAGTTGTAGGTATATTTATTTAGAAACGAATCTCATTATATTTAGAGGCTGCAGTTCTAGCCATAAGTTTTGTTAGTAAAGATAATTAAATTAAGTGGGATATCTGAGTAACGATGCATGAGATTAAGAAGTACATGCAATAAAATAGGGAGGCATATTTTTTATCAAACATTTATATTACGTTAACAGGATGACAGGATCCTGATTGTTGCAGCAATATATACTATTAGGCTATTTGTATGGTCTAGCACTCATAACATTACACATTAAGAATTAAGTTGCCTAGCCCTGTGGTCCCCAAACTTTCAGTTCACCATTATTCAGATTTAATGGACTCCAAATATTTTCAGGTACTCCTTGACTTATGTCTGTTTGTTTCATGGTTTGAAGTTAAGATAACCTTGGAAAAAGTGATTTACAATCCATCCTTCAAGTTACAACCATGGCTACAAACATATGAGCACAATTGGGGTACTTGGAAACTAGTTTACATTTAGCATCTTGCAGAATCTTGTGGTCATGTGATGAGCATTTGTGATTTTCCCATATGGCATATGACAAAGTCATTTTGGGGGAAGCCAGGTTCATTTAACAACTCTGATAGAAATGGTAGTAAAATTGGATCTAGTCATTTAATAACTTGTTTAATGTCTACATTTCTTAATAACTGAAATTCCAGTTCCAGTTGTGGTTATAAGTGGAGGGTTACCTGTATTATATGTAAATAATTTCATAAATGCTACCTTAAGCAAAAAAATACTATGAATAATATTATCAACCGTTTGGATAGTTCTATCAAACCTTGGGGATTGATGTTGATCACTTTGGGGACTCAGATCTAACCCCTTCCCCCAATTTAGAAAAGTCATAGAACAATACTTGCCTTATGTACAAAATACCACTTTTCAGATACATTTTTTTTGTTATTTCAGGTTCCATTTTATTTGTGCAGAATTCTTATAATGCAGAGAATAGGTATGAACATACAAACTGAACTTTTATTAGCTTTTGAAAATAAGGAATGTTTGAAATGTATTTGAATGGTATTGTAGCTTGTATTGGTAATTGGGCTGTTGGTCTAAGTTCTGAGCTTGGCAATTTGGTTGCAAACGTTTTGTCACCATTCAAGGAGACATTGTCGGTGCGCTTTGAATTGTGCTCTTCTGTCTGAACACTGGCCTTTAAATATCTTTTTATGTAATGCAAATTAATGTGGGTGTTACAGTCACACAAATGTGCATTAATAAAAATGTATTTAAAGGTTAGTGTTCAGACAGACAAGTAAAATTCAAAGCGCACTGATAATGTCTCCTCAAATGATGACGAAACGTTTGCAACCAAATTGCCAACCTCGGAGCTCAGACGACAACATATAAGGAGCGTTTCCCAAAATGGTATATGGATGGGGATATCAATATATATTGATATGCATTTGTGGATGAAAGTTGGCAAATCTGCTTTTTATTGGTACTGCCTTAAAAACCTTCCTAATTATGAATCTTAGACTTATAGAAAGAAATAGATAATACTGTCAGTGTTATTGCTTTGAGCATGGTAACAAAGAGTATGTAACACTTTGGATTTAATCTGGAAGAATGATTTAGAATGTAGCATACTATAGAACTAGATAAATGGCAAAAAACTTTGGGATAGAAATTACAAATTGACAATGGCTACTACATATAAGGCAAATCTTTATAAAATGTTTTACAGGTGGTATATGCCACCAGCAAGGTTAGCAAAAATGTTTAACAACATGTCCCCCAAATGTTGGAAATGTAATCAGACTCCAGGTACTTATTATTATATGTGGTGGACATGTATGAAAGCAAGAAAATATTGGATGAAAATACACACTTGGCTGGAAAAGATGATTAAGTGGCATATAGATTTAAGCCAGAAATATTTTTGTTAGGTATAATACCAGAAAGTTATGATAAATGGACTATAAACTTGTATTGACAGCAGCGAGTATAGTTTTTGCACAGTATTGGAAAAATGAGGACACAGCACCAGATGAAAATATAATTTGAGAAATATTGGACTGTGCAGAGATGGATAGATTGACATTGAAAATAAAAGACAAAGGAGATACATTTAATGTGGAATAGGTTTTATCAATGGTTAGAAATAAGTGGTAGAAATTAGATTAAGAAAGATCACTGTTATGTGTAAGTAAAATATAAACGTTGTTTATAACTATAAGTACGCTAGTATAATTAATATATAAATAAGCTAATATAATTATAAATATGGTTATAATTATTACATATATTATCATTATCACTATCAGTATGTCTGTTGTTTTTTTAAAAGTTATCTAAAATGAATTGCCCGGACAATACAGTCTTCAAAATACATATATAAATACAGTAAAAAAACATGACCTAAAAAAAAAAAGAATCCGAATTTAAAATCGGCTGACATATTTCCCAGTTATTATGTTGCCTGCATTTTTGGAAAAAAAAATGGTGGGTAAGCAACATTGTGGAAATCATTTGTCGAACAAAATGATGCATTGGTAACATTTATGCATCTGTGAGGCTGCTCATTCATTTTATTGGCCTGAAAGACAAGATGTTTGTTGGGTTCCAGAACTACATCTTATTTGCATGCTTCCAGCGTCTTCACTTACATCATCAGATCGACAATATCAATTCCCAGAAGCGACGCTAAAGAATATGGGTGTAAATTCAATAATAAATAAGCAATCGTTTGAATTTGGCAGTACGAACAGTACGGACTTCGGCTTGGGAACCATATAAAATACTCACTTTAGGCTTGGGAACCTAGGATGATCTGCCGAATTGTTGGCTTGGGAACCGGACAGATAGCAATAGCAATAGTAGCAATAGTTAGACTTATATACCGCTTCATAGGGCTTTCAGCCCACTCTAAGCGGTTTACAGAGTCAGCATATTGCCCCCAACAACAATCTGGGTCCTCATTTTACCCACCTCGGAAGGATGGAAGGCTGAGTCAACCTTGAGCCTGGTGGGATTTGAACAGCCAAACTGCTGAACTGCAGTCAGCTGAAGTAGCCTGCAGTGCTGCATTTAACCACTGCGCCACCTTGGCTCTTAATACCCATACAAGGCTTTGGAATGTCGAGGAAGAAACCAAACTACAGGCTTGGGATCCTGGACCAAGAAACCCACCTTTGGCTGGTGTTGCATGGCTATTGCGCGTGCCCCCTATGGCGATGGGGTTGCTGTATCAAGTGCTTTAACTGGTAATGACAATGTCACCATAGACCAACGCAATATAATAGTAGTAATGATGTCTATATAAAACAAGCAAGATGAAACAGTAATAGAATGCATGTGATGTTGCCATACAACTTCCTCAACTTTGTCCCTATTTTTAGGGCTTTGTACATCAGTGATGGAAAACCAACCCTATTTTTTTAGGAGGTTTAAAACATGCTCTTTGTAATGGGAATGATTTAACAGTTTCCAGGAGGTCTTTTTTTTGTAAAAGTGAGCTGAAGATACCATATTTTTGGCGTTTTTACAAAAACCGTCATGTTTACACTCAATTTTAAACTATTGGAAAGCAGTAGGAGAATGAAATTTTATATTCGAAAACCTTGTGTGGCTAAGTTATTACGCACAAAGTTTCACTTTTCTCATACCTTTCCTTACAGAGATATAAAAAGCCAAACTTTAACCTTTTTTCGAGCCGCAGTCATTTTCGGCCAACTTTGCTCCAACTTATCTAGATGGAGATCATTCGTGAGAATATTTTTGTTATTTTGTTTAATAGAGCACAACAAGTTGTACAAGATGGCCAAGTTTTGTTTCTCTCAACAAAATATTGCCGGAGATATTATGCCTCAAACTTGCTGAATCCTCAGGGTCATAATGTAGAAGGCTGCAGTATGGGGGTCAAACAAACGACTATCTCTGCAAGTATTGCATTGGCAAATGTAACACTTTACCAATGTTCATTGGGGATGTGTGTGCATGTTCACACCAAATTTCATTGAAATCGGTGATGGTCGAGCAGGGAGCCCCAGACCACTTGACATGGAATGACCCACCAAAAGACACAATCCCTCTCCACAAGATATAGTTTTATCTATCAAAAACACAAATCTCTCCTCACAATCCCTATGGATCAAGGAGTCATCCTGATATTTCAGGCATAATTATATATGTACAATATTTGCCAAAGCCATAGTTGCAATGGAAGATGATAGGGTAGCATTGCATGAATTTTGGAAAGACTACGCTATCCTCCATTGTATGAGAAATGTCAAAGTAGCATGGCAGGATGTTAATGTGAAATGCACAGGAAATAATTCGACATAATGTTTTGAAACATTTTCTGTTGTAAATAATTTTGAAGGATTTGACCCAAATGAAAATAAAATGTCGACACATAAAATTATTTGATTTAGAGCCTGATACTGAATATGTGAAAAAGTTAGTAGCCAACACTGAGGGAGAGCTTTCAAATGAAGGTTTAGTTGAATTGAAGAAAGAATTGGAAGCACAAAGTTTTGTGGAAAAAAGGAAGAAGAGGAATCCAAGATTGAATGGATTCCAAGATCCAACATATCAACAAAATTTATCAGAATTGGAAAGTATGGATCTAAATTTAGAATGTTTTGGAAAGGTACATTGGGAAATTTATGAAATCTCAAAAGTGTTACCATGACATATATAAATGACATAATTTTGCATCACCTTTTCTTTGTGCCATAACTGCTAGGCATGTAATTGCCTGCCTCATACTGAGTGGTAATCCTTTGTTCCAAATGTCCAGTGAGAAAAATGGGGAAAGATTTGGAAAACAAGTGACTCAACTGGTAATTGTCCGTGCTCCAGTAAATTTATTGAGTGACTTAATATTTTCATTAATAAACCATAGCTCCTCTCCCAAATCATCTGTAATGTGGTTTTCACTGTGTGTGTGTGTGTGTGTGTGTGTCTTAGAGGAGGGTAAATTCCTTATATTCAGATATAATTTTGACTAACAGCACAGTTTTTTCTTCTCTGTAGCAAAAATGGCTCAAGCAGCAATGGCAGCAGCAGCAGCATCTAGTCATGATGAGGACTCATCTGAAAGCAGAATGGTGGTTACCTTTCTCATGTCAGCCCTTGAGTCAATGGTAAGATACAATAAGAATCTGCTATACTGTGACTTTTCCTGCAGGGCTTATATCTCCAGGGACTTTTATATATATGTTTGTCTGTTTCTCTTTAATCATCAATTCATTTTCAAAACAGATTAGAACTATTTGACAATCTGGACCATTGTTTCCTAACATTGCATCAGAGTATAGTACAGGTAGTCCTCAATTTACAACAGTTCTTTCAGAGTTATAATGGCACTGAAAAAAGTAACTTGCGATCATTTCCCACAATTATGACCATTGCAGCATGCCCATAGTCATGTAATTTACATTCAGATGCTTGACAACTGGTTCATATTTATGACAGTTGCAGTGTCCTGGGGTCATGGGATTCCCTTTCCCGACCTTCTGACAAGCAAAGTCAATAGGAAATCCAAATTCACTTAACAACTGTTACTAATTTAACAACTGTAGTGATTCACTGTAGTGATGTTAAGAAACTGGTAAAAGTGAATAAAGCGGAATACTGTGTAAATCTGATCTAGCACCTACAGCAATACTGTAGACGTCACATTCTTTTATTACTGTTGTTTGCATAGGTCTCAGTTTGTGCAGGTTTTTTTCTGTGAAAAAGCTCTCCTTTGCAGAACAGGCTGTAGCCATGGTTTTAAAAAATAAAACCGTGCCAGAGAGAGAGAAAAAATCATTAAGTGTGTATATATACATTTTCATATTAAACATTAGTTCTTGCTTTTACAGTTCTAAATGGCGACCTTTTATTTCCATAGTGCAAAGAGCTTGCCAAGTCTAAGGCAGAGGTTGCCTGCATTGCTGTGTATGAAACAGATGTGTTTGTGGTGGGCACTGAGAGAGGAAGAGCCTTCGTCAATACGAGAAAAGATTTTCAGAAGGATTTTGTGAAGTACTGTAAGTCTGAATCAGAAATTCACAGACTTCTAAACTTGTGTAGTTGATTAGAATCTGTACATAAACATTTTTGCTCATGTAACATTCCTTTTATGTCTAGTAATACTGTAAATAAATAAGGTGGGCTATTTTGAGAACATTGATGCAACTTCCGTGCCCATTTTCTGTAGCAGAAGGTAACAGATTATGCATTTGGTAGCATTATACTTCACCACCACCCCCAGAACAGAAAGCAGTGCATTATAATATGTCTTACCATAATTGCAAACTGGTGCTGAGTATTGAGAGGACCAGTGAGGAATGGTAGGAAATAATTGACATGCTTAGATTATGGGTTATTAGGGACATTGGGGAAATGTCCAGTTAATGGATTTTTCAGAAACAGAATATTGGTATCATATTTTCTCTAAAAAGTGAAGCCCCCTCCCCCCAAAAATCTTCTGGAAATTATATATTAAAAATTAGTCATACATTACATATATAATAATAATTTACAGAAGTTCATTAAAACAGTATCAAATCCATAATGCACGTAGTGTGTCTAAATAATGCCTTTTTCCCAAACAACTGCATTCCTAGAGATCTAATTCAACAATGCTGGCTGTGTAAGAAAATTTATTTTATATGATTTATTTTTATAGAGCCATGGTGACACAATGATTATAATGCAATATTGCAGGCTACCTCTGCATTCCCACTGCCAGGAGTTTGATCCTGACCAGTTCAAGGTTGACTCAGCCTTCCATCCTTCCAAGGTTGATAAAATGAGGAGCCAGATTGTTTGGGGACAAGATGCTGACTCTGTAAAACACTTAGGGAGGGCGGTAAAGCACTATGGAACAGTATACAAGTCTAAGTGCTATTGCTATTATTGTGACAAGGTAGTTTGAGCACAAGAAATGGGATGTCTGAGAAAGGTCTTAATATATAGATAGACTCGTGATTTAAATTAGTAGTTTATGGACAGTTTCATATTTCATAATTTCTTCCTAGGTATTAATGAAGAAGCAAAAGCTGTAGAATTGCAGAAGGCAAAATCATCCTCTCTTGATAACAGGATGACTGTAGATGTTGTGGAAATGGAAGCTCTAAAGAAATCTGTTGAGGATTATTTCTGTATTTGCTACGGTAAATATTTAATTTTAAATCCAAATTGCTTTTCAGAGAAGAACTGTGATGTTTCTCATTCTAGATTTAAATGCAGTTGATTTTGATTTGAGGAAGGCAGTTAAATAATCAAGATTTGATTTGAATTCTATTTCAATGATGAATGTGAGTTGCTATCTGTTTCATGGGATTGGTATTAATTAACTAGGTATATACAGCTTGCTTTATTTCTTTTAAGAATTATACAGTAAAGGCATTTTATAAATTCCTATATAAATAAAATATACATTGTACATAAAGTTAACCTTCATAATAACTAATATAATGAATTAGTTCTTGATCATGCTTTTTATTCTTTCCAAACCAGCAGAATGTTGGAAAGAATTTAGGTTAAAAAAAATCTCAGTCTCTGCCTTGATTTCAGCAGATTACCTCTATGAAAATAGAACAAGACCAAATTTGATGTGGTGAAAAAAACTGAATTTGACTGCTCCATTCAAAATCTCCCACCCACTCATAAAAACACAAAGATGCAATTTGAGGAAAAAGCAGACACTCCCCCCCACCAAAAAAAACCCTTACACACTAACCTTGGTTAGAGCCATACATGTGCTGAGTTCCTGCACAGAAGGTGCTGTTATGCATATGTCTACACACAGATTCAACTGGTACTACCTCCCAAAAACTCATTTTTAGGATTGACTGATTGACTTACAATCTTTATCTGCCTCATTCATGAAATTACAAATTTATAACTAAACCCCACAAAATCAAATATAGATAAATGCTTCCACAAAGGATAACTAGGGGTCAAAACCTTCAAATATAATAAAGCCTTGGAATGCTTATGGAGCATTCCAATCGCATAGAGGCTAAATGCACCATTGAGGAGAGAGTTTCATAATAAGGGAGATGCCACAGAGAAAGCGTGTCATAATAATAAATAAAGATGCTGCTGCAGGATGATGCTTTCCTTTGAAGTATAGCAGCTTCTCATTTTTTAAAATAATAAATAAATAAATTAAAAAAAAGAAAATCAGGATTCTGTGTGGATAATTAGTTATGTTCACAGTGCTAAATCAGAGAACTCCATTGGAGACCTGAGGGCTAGTGAGTAGTTAGACTATTTATTTCATCTACATAGAAAGAATTATTGGCTGATTTTTGTTTCAGAACAAGTTCAGGCATCAAAGAAAAGGACATGTTTGCTATTGTTTTGTTGTTTTATGAACAGAAATGTTACTTCATCGGTACAAATTGATTTTCTCCTATCTAGGTAAAGCTTTAGGAAAATCAACAGTAGTTCCTGTGCCATATGATAAGATTCAGAGGGATCCATCTGCTTTGATAGTACATGGGCTTCCAGAAGGACTTGCTTTTAAACATCCCTCCAGCTATGATGTCTCAACACTGAAGTGGATTTTGGAGAACAAATCTGGAATTTCATTTATCATCAAAAGGTACAAACTGAATTTTGCATTCAATTTCCCGAGAAACTTTGAGCTTGCAGCAAAATGTTCTTAAATTACTTTGCATAAAGAATGTAAATAGGGGTTATTAATGCCATTTAACTTTCTAGCAGGACAGTTGTTTCCATGTAGCAACAGAGTCCCATATAAACCTATGCAGATTCCTGGAGAGCAACCCTTCCCAGGAAGAACATATCCTTCCTAGTTCAAAAGACCAAATTTGGGAACAGATGGGATGCTTATATGAGGAGGACAGATCATTATCACTACATATTTTTCTCTTCAGATAATTCAATAAACGTTCGAAACTTCTAAGAAATCAATTGTTCTGGCATTGGAAAAGAGGAAGATTTTAGTAAAGAACAATGATTTCACAGAATCACCAAGACTTCTCTATAAAACTTTAAATTAATTTGTAATAGTGTGGAAATTTCCTTTCTAAAACTGTGACAAATGATACCATTCAGCTGTGAATCAGATATGTTTGTTTATACTATTTTCACCATTCCTTCATCTTCCATCTATGGTCCAAAATGGAACTTGTAACATTATAGATGGTTGTAGGAAATATGGAGAAAATATTGAAGACATGATCTGAACCCTCTTAATGCCATTATTATGCTTATAAATAGATCTTGTAGAATAATAGAATTTGTTCTTTCTTTATATAGACCTTTCCTTGAGCCAAAGAAACATTTAGGTGAGTCTTAATTTGATCTTTTTAAAAAATCATTTTCTATACAGTAGCAATTATGTAGGTTTTTTTTAACATAAGTTGATACCTGAAAAGAAGTATACAATACTGAAAGTTCTGATTTTTTTCAGCCTTTTGTGGGACTAGAATAATTTTCTTGGTTATGCCACCCCCACCCACCTCCAACATCTCATGCATGAATTTATTTTTGGTAGTCTCTTATAGTAAAGCAAATCCTATTATTGAGAAGTTATATAATTGTCTCAGATATTGCAGACCTGTATGGCTGTGAAAAGCCTGGGCAGAGGGGGAGGAAAACTTTGTGCACAAGCATTTAAAACAGCACCTCTTTTCATATAATTAAAGAAACTATCATTTGCAAAGCTAGCCTGTCTGTTTCACAACTTATTCCCAATGCCATCTGTATATATACACCTGAGACAAATTCTTTGGGTGTCCCATCACACTTGGCCAAATAAGAATATTCCTATTACTATATGTATGTGTGTGCTGTATTGCTTCTATGCTAGACCCTGCAACTGACATTTTTTAAAAGGTGTTTTTTGTGCATCTCTTACATGTTGCAACACATTTCTTTCTAAGATTTTGCAGTTGTTTATTCATATTGAAAAAATATATGCTATCAGAATTTTCAGTAATGGTAATTTGGAAGGCATAGAGCCTTGAATAACATTGCCATGACACAGAGTCTATACCATTAGAACTGGGGGGGGGGGGGGGGGGGGGGGGGGGGGAGGGTGTACAAAATTCTCCTGACAAAGTTCTGAATGAATTTACAGAGAGATAAAAGTGGATAGTCC